ATTTTAAGTTTCTCGGAGTCCCCAATTTCTTTCTGGATTAAGTGCACTTGTGAAAGGAATACAAAAATCCAAAATTACAAAATATCTCACCTAGGGAGAAGGTGTAAGAACCCATACGAAGCCTCTCAGGCACACGGGAGAGCAAGTTCAGTCTCTCCTGAGAGTGTAGTCATTTTAGCTCTAGTTATTCACTGTAAAATGTATTTTGTCAATACAGTTTGAAAAGTTTTTAAAAAAATTTCAGTCAAGCCGGGCTCGGTGGCTCAGCCTGTAATCCCGTGCTTTGGGAGGCTGAGATGAGTGGATTGCCTGAGCCTGTGGGTTCGAGACCCGCCTGGGCAACTTGGCGAGACCTCATCTCTACAATAAATAGAAATGAGCCGGGCATGGTAGTGCGCGCCTGTAGTTTCAGCTACTTGGAAGGTTGAGACAGAAGGATCGCTGGAGCCCAGCAGGTCGAGGCTGCAGTGGCCGGGAGTGGCCACTGCACTCCAGTCTTGGCGACAGAGTGAGACTACAACTCAAAAAAAAAAAAAATTGCAGTCACGCCTGGCTCGGTGGCTCAGCCTGTAATTCCATGTCTTTGGGAGGCTGAGGTGAGTGGATTGTTGAGCCCGCGGGTTCGAGACCCACCTGGGCAACTTGGAGAGACCTCATCTCTACAATAAATAAAAAAATCAGCCGGGCGAAGTAGCGCATGCCTGTAATTCCGGCTACTTGGAAGGCTGAGGCGGAAGGATCACCGGAGCCCAGCAGGTCAAGGGTGCAGTGGCCCGGGAGCGGCCACTGTACTCCAGTCTGGGTGACAGAGTGAGACTCCAACTCAAAAAAAAAAAAGAAAATTCAGTCAAGATATAGATAGATGTCTGGAAATAATTAAATATCTAAGGTTGGGTGAAGGGGCCCATGCTTATACTCCCAGCACTTTGGGAGGCTGAAGTAGAGGACAATGCCCACAGTTGCAAGACTGGCCTGGACAACTTGGTAAGACCTCTTTTCTACAGTAGATGAAAAAAATTAGCCAGGATCCATCTGACAACTAGAAATATGCAATAAGATAATTTGTAACACAGAAATATTCACTAATATATTAGGTCTGAGAAAAAAGAATGAAATGAAATCCACTCAGCCAGGGTACACACTATTTTTGTGAATGATACAGCATAAATTTGGGCATCAACGCAGGCATGTACAATTTTGAGTGCTATATTTACATCACACAGAAAAAGTTGCATATACTGCTCAGAGGGAAAATTCACAGTAGGTTGGAAGGTCTTCATCCAGTTTTAATGTGTGCAAAATGAACTGAATATCTTCTTGAAATGCAAATTCTGATTCAGGAGATTTGGAATTTGCCTGAGCTTCAGCACCTTTTCTTTTTTCAGTTGGGAGGATCTCATTCTCTTACCCATGCTGGGGTACAGTGGCATATTCACAGCTCACTGCAGCCTTGATCTCCTGGCCTGAAGGCTGCTGGGACAAATTGGTATTAGGTGCCAATGCACACAGGTGCAACACAATATCCATGCTGAGATTTATAGGCCCCTAAAATAGTAAACTGTAACATCAATCTAACAATAAACATGTCAGGCAAAAATCCATGTACAGGTACCTCCCATGGTGTGTAATCTCAAAATCTGTACTTATATTGTTTGTTTTCAGCATCCGGAAGAGCAACTCTCTTCTAATAATTCTTTTTTTTTTTTTTTGACTTGAAGTCTCACTCTGTCGCCCAGATTGGAGTGCAGATGCCACTGCCGGCCACTACAGCCTCGACCTGCTGGGGTCTGGCAATCATTCCACCTCAGCCTTCCAAGTAACTGGAACTACAGGCAAGTGCTACCGTGGCTGGCTAATTTTTTGATTTATTGTAGAGATGAGGTCTCGCCAAGTTGCCCAGGCCTGTCTTGAACCCATGGGCTCAGGAAATCCACTCACCTCGGCCTCCCAAAGCACTGAGATTACAGGCTGAGACACCAAGCCCAGCATCATGTGAAATCTTAATTGTTCACTGTCCCATCCTTTGCTTGTATCTGAGGATCTACCCCATTTCCAATGGGAAGCTTGGATATTCACACATTGCCATGTTCCCCAAAGCACAAGGAAACATTTTTAATACTGCAGGTCATACATTCATGGTGAGAGCAGTTCATTGCAACTACGCAGCATGAATGCTGAGAACAGTGGAGCCTCTGGTATGTAGGGAGACACGTCCTTCAAAGCCCTTGAATATCAGGAAGAACAAAAAAATTGAAAAATAGTAATTAGGCAAGACCATCACAAGTAGAAGTGTGGTTTACAAGTTTTAAAATTGGCAGTCCTCCTGACCTGGGACACATTTATCTGAGAACCAGGTAGTTTTTTCCTTTTCCTCCAGCTTCTCTGGAAGTTTTTTTTTTTTTTTTTTTTTTTTGAGTCAGAGGTCTCATTCCTTTGTCCAGGTTGGAGTGCAGTGACATGCTCACTGCTACCCCTGCAATGGCCTACTGGGCTCAGGCAATCCTTCTACCTCAGCCTTCCAAGTAACCATAACTACAGACTAAGCTACACTTGGTCAATTTTTAATGTATTGTAGAGAAGAGGTCTTGCCAAGTTGACTGGGCTCATTCAAACCTGTGGGCTTAGGCAGTCCTCTCTCCGTGGCCTCCCAAAATGCTCAAAATACAGCCAGAAGCATGCAGCTTGGCCCTCTGGGATTTCATTTCAGGTGAGATGATCTAGACAAGTCACATCTACATGTTGAAAATATGCCTTTATTTATTTTATTTTATTTTTTTTGTTTTTTTTTTTGAGTTGGAGTCTCACTCTGTCGCCCAGACTGGAGTGCAGTGGCCGCTCCCGGCCACCGCAGCCTCGACCTGCTGGGCTCCGGCGATCCTTCCGCCTCAGCCTTCCAAGTAGCCGGAATTACAGGCATGCGCTACCACGCCCGGCTGATTTTGCCTTTATTTATTTTAAAATTAAATTGAACATATTTAGTTTTTGTTAGAGTCTCACTCTGTCACCCAGGCAGAAGTGAAGTGGCATCATTATTATCACAGCCTTGAACTCATGGGCTCAGGCAATCCTTCTGTCTCAACCTACAAAGTAGCTGGAACTACAGGGCTTTGCTAATATTCCTGGCTAATTTGTCTTTAATTATTTTTTATAGTGATATGAATATGCTATGTTGTAGAGGTTGGTCTTAAACTCCTGACCCCAAGCAATACTCTCACCTCAGCCTCCTTAAGTAATAGGATTCCTGGCATAAGTATGATGTGAAGCCAGCACATTCCTTTCACATAAGCATAATCCTTTCCTTGCTACCACCACACCCACAAGCAGGAGGGTCCAAAAAGGGTGATAAAGTCTACCTTTTTCTGTTTTTTGTCACAGGAGACAGATTCAAAAACAGTGAGCTCCTGCAAGGAGTGCAAAGTGTGAGTTAATTCTTTCCTTTCCACAAGTGCCCTCCTTTGCCTGAAACACTGACAATTTCTTCTACAGCAACGAATATATGGCCCCACTGGCTTACCTGCCTGACCTAACCCAAGCAGATCAGGACAGGTGACCTCCCTTCTGAATTCAACTTTAACAAACATATCTGGCAACCCTCAACTTGACGATTCACCATGTTAGAATCACATGGGGTATAGCAGGGCACAATGGCTCACACCTGTAATTCCAGTAGTTTGGGAGATGAGATGAGAGGATTGCCTGAGCCCCGGGGTTCCAGACCAGCCTGGCCAACTTGGCAAGACCTCATTTCAGTAATAAATCAAGCAATTAGCTGAGCATGGTGGCACATGCCTGAAGTTTGACGTGGCAGTATTGCCTGTGGCCAACAGGTCAAGGCTGCAGTAGCTGTGAGTGTCCCACTGCACTCCATCCTGTGCACAACAAAGAAAACCTATATGCTTATTTTAACAATGAAAATCCAGCAGAAATGATAAAGAAAGAATTAAAATTCTGTCTGTGAATGCTCTCTTAAGCAGTAACATGAGAACGCAACAAAAAGTCAGGTACCATGGGCAACTCCCTTATTTGTACTGACTACATTGTGTCAATTCAAGCATTTACCCTTTTACAATAGTTGGAAGTTTCTGGGGTATAGGGATATTGACCACTTGATCTGTTTTTTCTAGTGGCTTTGTAATATGGTGGTAAACTTGTTATCTACCAGTGTGTTTTTCCAGACCTACTCCTCATTATTTACCCAAGTAAAAGGAAACTGGAGCCAATCCATATGGCTAAATTCATTCTTATCCATGGAGAGTTAGATTCTTGTTATTAAACTCAACATTAAAAAATAATTTACTTGGCTCAGCCTATAATCCCGTGCCTTTGGGAGGCTGAAGTGAGTGGATTGCCTGAGCCCGTGGGTTCAAGACCCGCCTGGGCAGTGAGACCTCATCTCTACAATAAATCAAAAAATCAGCCAAGCGTGGTAGTGCATGCCTGTAATTCCGGCTACTTGGAAGGCTAAGGCAGAAGGATCGCCGGAGCCCAGCAGGTCGAGGCTGCGGTGGCCGGGAGTGGCCACTTTACTCCAGTCTGGGTGACAGAGTGAGATTCCAACTAAAAAAAAAAAAAATGAATGAGACACACCAACTGAACAGAAAAGCGCAGAACCTCAGGCTAAATCCATGTATTCTGAATCAGAATTTGCCCTTTAACAAGATAATCAATTCATTGTACAAGTTAAAACTTGAGGAGGATCTTCTGACTTACTAGGAGCAGTGTATGTAATGTATTCTGTGTGATATAAACAGTAATTTTAAATGTATGTGCCTGTGTTTGTGTACATTTTAAGCTGTTTCACTCACAAAAATCGAGAGTCTATACAGGCTAAGGACTTTATTCCATCCTTTTTTCTCACACAATGCATTACAGGATATTTCTGTGTTATGAATTTTTTTATTGCATAACAATAGTTGTCTTATCAGCTGGACCCTGTTTTCACTCTTGCTTTACCTAGAGGCCATGGTGACTTGGTAAATATGTGTTTTTATTGTTTTCAGGGGTTGTTGTCATTCAAGGATGTGGCCATAGAATTCTCTCCAGAGGAGTGGGCATGCCTAAACTCCCCTCAGCGAATATTGTACAGGACTGTGATGTTAGAGAACCATAGAAACCTGGTTTTTCTAGGTGAGGAAACTTTCAAAACACAATCCGTATTTCAAACTAAGGATTTTATGTCCTTCCTTTGTAGAAGGTTTTCTGGGAATTTCTGCTTTACATAAATGAGTTTCAGATTCCTACTATCAACAAAAAGTTGGTAATATGTTAACATAGAAAACAAAAAATTTTGACATGAAGTCTTCTCTATTTTAAATTGACCAGTGTTTTTCTAGCTATATTATTGGTAAGTTCAGAAATTTAGTGGCGTAGATATCATTGCCCACATTTCATTCCCATTGCTGCCATAAGTTATTGACTCACCAGTACTGAACTAAGAATTCACAAATTTAAGGCCCGACATGGTGGCTCAGCCATGTAATGCCAGCACATTAGGAGGTTGAGTTGAGAGAACTGCCAGAGCCAATGGGTTCAAGAATAACCTGGACAACTTGGCAAGACCCCATCTCTACACTAAATCAAAAAATTATTTGGGAGTGGTAATGCACACCTGTAGTTCTGGTTACTTGATAGGCTGAGGGAGAATTACCTGAGCCCAGCAGGTGAGCACTGGGGTGACTATGAGGTTTACACCACACTCCAGCCTGGGTGACAGAGTGAGACTACAACTTAGAATAAAAAGCAACCCATAAATTGAAAATTATATCTAAATGTTATAAAAGTTTTATTTGGAAACCATATTTTGGGGGTTAATTATCTAGAATCTTATACAATGTGTTCTCTACTGATCAAATACTAGGTTTGTAATCTAAGAACCCCAGCAAGAGTCATTACTTTTTTCTAATTAAACAGGACTTGCTGTCTCTAAGCCAGACCTTATTATATGTCTGGAGCAAAGGAAAGAGCCCTAGAATGTGAAGAGGCATGGCATATTAGCCAAACTTTCAGGTAAGTGGGAGTGAATGAAGCAGATGACACAGGTTGAGGAATCAGAGGTTGAAATGTGGTTTGGGAAGTTGGTCTGCTCCAATGGAAATGGTTTCTTAGAAACCTGGGATTCTTTCTCTTCCTGTCACAAAGGGACATCTGTTATTCCATGTTCTGAAATTCTCCAAAAACTCTGCTTTCTCAATGATCTTTCAAGCTTACAGAGGAAATCAGAGTCCACTTAATGGTT